GCCTGGCTATGTTTTGTATTTTTAGTAGAGACAAGGTTTCACCACATTGGCCAGGCTGGTCTTGACCTCCTGACCTCTTGATCTTGGTCTTGATCCGCCCAAGTCTGCCTCCCAAAGTGCTGGGATTACAGGCGTGAGCCCTGGCACCTGGCCGAATTTGTATACTTTAAATTGGCAAATTGTGTGATATGTGAATTAGGTATTGAAAAGGCTATCATAAAAAAGATAACACCTACAATAATGTCAATCTCATTGTAATTTCAATGCTGTTTGAATGGGAGAGGACAGAACGGCCTATCCCCTTGGACATGTCCATGGATGTGTGTCATAGGTGGCAACATCAATGTGACTAAAATTTGAGGAGCCACCGCCTGAAAAAAATAAGCATCAGTCTCTTGATTCACTGTCTCCACATGACAGCTTTGCCTCTGGCACCCTCCTCTCACCTTCTTTTCTCTCAGGGCAAGGCACAAAAGGTGCAAACCAGGAGGGAAAATGAGGTTTGAATAATAAGTGGTTTTCAATTAGCTGCAGTGAAAATTGCGAGTCGACTTGTATTAATTTTCACGATCAAATTACCTCATTTTCTCTCTCCCCTGACTGCTAGGGTAATTTTATGCCAGAATTATTTTAGTCATTCTAATTATGTATGCATCAATATTTAGTGGGTATTTACCTAACCCACAGCACACCCAAATGTTTTTGCTCCCCCAGAGACCATAGCAGTGCAATAAAATATTAATAGGTGGTGCACAGTACGGAGATGAAGTTCCCTTTATTTCTTCGTCCTTGTTTGTGAGGAATGTTCAGGTGGTGTTTCTCGGAAAGCAACGTGTGTGCTATTCAGATGCATCTACAAAACTAAAAGCAGTACTGTGGATGCTATGGGTTCATTAAAGGATACTAAATGCAATTCTAGCACAGATGTTTCATTAGGGATTCAGTTATGTAAGACAAATTAAAATTTACCATTTGTTTAGAATTTTCTTTTTGCAAAAAGACTTTCCTGTCTGTCTTGTGTTTGCATTTTTCTGACACTGACAGTATTTCTTCTCCCCTTTTCCTGTAGACCGTTTCCTTTTTATTTTTGAGATGGAGTCTCACTCTGTCCCCAAGGCTGGAGTGTAGAGGCAAGATCTCAGCTCACTGCAGCCTCCACCCCTGAGGTTCAAGCAATTCTCCTTCATCAGCGTCCCGAGTATCTGGGACTACAGGTGTGCGCCACCACACCTGGTTAATTTTTTGTATTTTTAGTAGAGACAGGTTTCACCATGTTGGCCAGGCTGGTCTCAAACTGCTGACCTCAAGTGATCTGCCTGCCTTGGTCTCCCAAAGTGCTGGGATTCTTTCTCCTTTAACTAACACTCTCCTACTTAGTCTCTGCCTGGCCCTCTCTTCCTCTTACTCCTACTTTGTTCTTCCCTCTCTCTCCTTCTCTATTTTCTGTCTCTTTTTTTGACCCCTTTGTATTTTCTTCCTAGCTATAAGTGGGTAAAACCCAAGATTCAGCCTTCAGACTTTCTTTTGACATCTACATCATTTCCCTTCAATTCTCTGGGTTTCAACTCTGAACCTTGGGCTGACAATTCCCCAGTATATATGAATTTGACTCTGGAAAGTATTTAATGGGGATGACTCAATTTATCTTGACCTAAGGTCCAAAAGTGAATTCTTTATCTCTGGGAATACTTGCCACTGGTGGTACCATTTCAACATGCCCTCTCTTTCCCTTCATTCTCAGGTGGGTTTAATTTTACTTTGCAAAATCTCCTGGACCCGCTCCCTCTTTTTGTTCCTTCTGCCCCTTTTCGTTTCCTGATGGCCTCCTAACTAGAGTGACACCCCAGAGGGTAAGCGTGTTAATATGGACAGCCTACGAGGTTTGAGAATCTCTCAGGGAATCACCCAGAGGCCAGGCCTCAGTGGTGCCTTCTCACCCCCTCTATCCACTTCCAGGGTCCAGAGCCATCTCTTCCCTGCACCACTCCCCAAAGGCCTGTGGGATGTGACGATGCTAAGAGCAAGCCTGGGGCAAGAGAGCAGGACAAGAAATGGGGCAATGCAGGGGAGGGCATGGGGACCAAGCACAGCACAGACCACAGGGCCTTGGGAATGTGGAAGGAGAGAGAGAGAAAAAATACCAGCAGAAAGGTTTCCTGCCTATCAGTGGGGTGACACTGTGGAACAGTTGATGACAATCAGGATGCTGCAGCCAGGGAGAGATGGGGGAGGAATGAGCTGAGGAGGGGAGGGAAGTTATTTCAGAATAGCCTCTGTGGATGCTAAGCCTTGGTACATGACACCCGACATAGACTCGTTACATATTCTTTCTATTCCATACAAATGTCGGTCAGTTTATTGCACAATTAGGATTATAGATTGTGCCTCCCACTGCCAAAGTAAAGTAACAGGGGTTGCATTGCTCTTACTCCTTGGCTGAGAGAGTGGTCACATAATCTATGGCAGATAAGTGAAGTTTATAGGCTGCAGCAGGCTATTTAGGGCAAGAACTTTAAACCCTTTATGGCACACCAAGGACTCTGGACTCTGAAAGTGTGTGCCAACTAAAACAAATTGCTGATGAAGTTAGATTTATCTATATTTTATATTATCAGAGATACACGAAACTTCTGATTAATATGAGAAAACCTAAGGAGCCTCACTGAATGGACCTAAAGATCAACTCCAACCAAGGAACGTTATGGCTTAGTGGACACAGGTTAATGCATGGCTTGATATATGAGATTGTGAAAATGGGAATATTGGCTAATTAATTAATTCAACTGTTCCTGCATTCAGCAAGCCTTTATGGAGTGCCTTCTACATGCCAGGCAGTGTTCTAGGCACTATAGCCAGAGATGGTGGTGAATAAAACATTCTCTGCCTTCAAAAAGCTCAGAGGCTGGGGGCTCAGTCAAATAAGTGAGCAATGGCATGACAACAGAATTTCTCAAAATATGTTAATCGTATCACTTACAACAGATCACCTGGGGAGTGTCTTAAATGTGCAGCTTCCTGAGCTCTACTGCTCAAACGCTGGAACAGCCTCTCCTGCAGTGAGGCCAGGAATGAGCATTCCTAGCAGACACCCCAGGTGAGCTGCTTTCGCTGACATTTTTGGAGTTGCAGTCCCATAAGTTTAGTGTGCTGCAATGGAGAGAACCCAGGGGACTGTGGGACCTAAAATGGGATCCCTACTCCAACCTAGGGACTGTGGAAGGATCATAGAGGGCTTGCTTTTGGAGGTGGTACCTGAGTTGAATATTGGGAGACAAGGGGCAGTAGCAGAAGACAGCAAAGGTAGAGGGAGCCATGGGGCAGGAAGCATGATGGGGCTGGGGTGTCGGAGACCCATGAGTGTTTCTATGAAGTTGGGGCACAGAGGACTGTGACTTGGAGCAACAGAGGAGATGGGGCAGGGACCTAATCATGTACAGTGAAATAAATTGGGAGACCCCAGCTGACATGGCCATTATCACATTTAGTTGGTACATGAGGTAAGTCTGATGCTCCCTGTGATCTCCTGCAAGAGACCTTGAATGCCGAGCCAGGTCGCTCTTGGCCAGGATCACTCTAGCTGCTTACTTAGAAAAATATTGTGTTGCATTTTTCACTAACAAAGGGGATATCTTGCCGTAAGGTATTTGAAATCAGAGGTCTTCAGACATTTTTGCTTATTACCCCTAAAGGAATTTTTTAAAAGAATTATGCTCTTTCTGGCATATTTTAAAGCTGTTGTCTAAAATTTTTGTCTTATGTCTAAATGGCTGTAAACAATGGATACCTAACATATACTATATTGACATTTTAAGATAAACTATGATATTTTTCTTTTAAATATATCCACAGCAATAAAAATACCTTGGCAGTTCAATACTTCCAACATCTTACAACATTTTCAAAACACGCAAACATATTCTCTTGTTAGCAGATGGAAATTTTATGTATTTTTTTCTTCTTGTATCTGCAGTTCTATTTTACTTCCCTTACAGAATTTTATTCACTATAATATAGTTTATAATTGAAAGTTTCTTATTGATTTATCTTCCTATTTCTCTATAATGAATGTACATTAATATATATAAATATGTTGAATGAATATATATGAGGATAAAGGCTAAACATATATATATATATATACACATATACATATTTTTACGTATATATGGTAACATAGTTACTATAGACTTCAGTATCAAACATCTTCTGGATTGACTTAACATTTTAATTATTAGTCATAGATTAAAAATAGATATTATTATAACATTTGTCAATTATTAAATATAAAAATAAAGTACTAATTCGGTGGATGTGGCTTTTTCCAATTTTTTTCAGGTATCTTAAGATGAATGCTACTTATTAATAGAAAAATACAGGTTTCAGCATGAATTATATTGCCATTTAAAAAATTTTTTATAGATGTATCACTGAGAATTTTCATTCACAGAAGTGAGTAGATGGGGATGGAACCAGATTTGAATAGTAAGTTTACTCAATTAAAAAAATTGATCAATATATTTGTCAATATTAACATATTAAATAGGCTAAACCATATGATCACATCCATAGATGAAGAGTAAACATTTGACAAAATTCAACACCCTGTTACGACAAAATGCTCAGTGAGTTAGGAATAGATGGGACACTCAATTTTTAAACCTCCTTTTGAATTATATGCCCCAAATTAAATTTTATGATCAGCTGACAACTAGGTGAGGTTCTTCAGTTTTGCTGAAAGCTGAGACTTGGAAACAAAATTACTTGCAAAATAATTTATTATTTAATCTTCAGTTTCTAGAAATTAGACCAATGTGGGTTTAGACCTGTATCAAATGAATATTAATTATACTTGTTACTCTTTTTCTCTGACGCATTATGTTTATCTAAGTATACTCAGAGTTGGGTAAATCACAACAGCGCTAATGTTAATTTCAATATAATACGATATTGTGAATGCAATATTTTTGGCAAAATGCTTTTATCTTATATATCTTAAATATATTTTAGAACAACTTTATAATTGAAGATTTAACTCATTCAACTTCCGGAAAATATTCATCCTATGATTGGCAAAGCCATTTCACATTGTCAAGTCAATCAGTCAGATCAAAGCATTTAAATTACTTTTGAGTTTTATGGCCCAAATTATATTTAATGATCAGATATTAGAAAAAACAATTGACTTCATATTTTAGTTCAAATAAACATGTTAACAGTATACTTAGGACAACCATTTGATTTTTGATACATAGATAGACAGTGTCTTAGTCAGCTTGGGCTGCTGTTCCAAAGCACTAGAGACTGAGTGGCTTACCAACAACATATTTTTTTTTTCACAGTTCTAGAGGCGCGAAGTCTAAGATCAGGGTGTCAGCATGATTGGGTTCTGGTGAGGTTGCAGAGCTGCTGGTTCCGTGGGCTGCTGGCTTCCTTTATCCTCCCTGGCAAAAGAGGGTAAGAGAGCTCTCCAGGTTATAAGGGCACTAATCCCATTCATGAGGGCTCTACCGCCATAGCCTAATTACCTTCTAAAGGCTCTATATCCAAATACCATCACAATGGGGGTTAGGGTTTCAACATAGGAATTTGGGAGTGGAGGTGACACAAACATCCAGTCCATTGTCAGCAGACAGAGCATGAAGTTTGTTGTTGTTGCTATGCTTTTATTATTTAAACCATTTTCATGGGAAAATTCAGACCATGTTGAGGGGGGCAGTTGCCCTGAGACAGAAACATTTGAGAAAGGAATCACAGGAGTGGAGGGAATTAGGCAACTGGACAAGAACATTCCAGGCAGAGGAAACTGCTGGAGCAAGGAGGGTGTCCCATGTGTTTGATGAGCAGTATGTAGATCCTTGGGACTAGAATGGAGTGAACGAGGGACAGAAGTCAGATGTGGTCTAAGAACTATGGGGGCCAGATTATCCTTGTAGCCATTTAAGGATTTTGGCTTTTACTCTAGGTGAGAAGGGAGCCCTTGCCAGGTTTTTAGTAGATGAGTGATAAGATTGGGCTAAAGTTATAAAAGGAATTATTTTCTTGTGCTGTGTTGAAAACGGACCTTTGGGAGACAAGGGAGGAAGCAGACGTATCTACTGGAGGCTGTTGCAATGTTGGCAGGGGGTGATGATGGCTTGGACTAGGTTAGCTGCAGTGGAGGGAGTCAGAAGTGGTCAAGCAGTGGATACATTCTGAAGGTAGAGCCAGCAAGATTTCTTGATGGATTGGATGTGGGTTGATCCCAAGAGCAGAGTCAAGGGAAGTCCAGCGCTTGCATACTGTGCTGCTGAAAGAATGAAGTTGCCCTCACTGAGCCAGGAAAGGCTGCGAATAAAGTAAATTTGGCACATGTAATTTTGGGAGTAGGAGTTACAGTGGGCTGTGAGATGACACCCTTGTAGGATAGAGGGAGAAGTTGAGTCTGTGGAACAATATGGGTGGGAGGAAGAGGAGGAGGTCAAAGAAAGAGTGAGAAAATTAAGAGAAGCTCAAGAAAGTATCCAGAAGGTTAGTGAAACTCCCTGGTGGTGGTGAAAGGAGACAAAGGATCCTTTAGTAAGTAGAGTTATCAACACGGTTGTATGTTCTTTGGTGATTGTGGTCGTTTCACAATCGAGCCATTGCCCCTCTACAGGCTCTAAGCAAGGCTCCTTCCTGCCTCTTTCAGCTTCTGGAGGCTCCAGGTGTCCCCTGGCTGTGGCACTATAGCTGTGATCTCCACCCTGTCTTCACATTGCCTTTGTCCTGTGTCTGTCTGTGTCATCTTCTCTTCTTTCTCCTATCAAGATATGTGCCACTGGATTTAGAGCCCATGTGAATCCAAGATAATCTCATCTCCATGTGGGCTGTCATAACAGATGACCATGAACCCAGTGGCTTAAATAGCAGTCCACAACCTTTTGTGGTGCCAGCGACTGGTTTCATGGAAGACAATTTTTCCCCAGGTCTTTGTGGGGTTGTGGGGAGAGGGGACGGTGTGGGGATGATTCAGGTGTATGACATTTATTGCACACTTCATATTTCTATTATTATTACATTGTAATATATAATGAAGTATTTATACAACTCCCCATAATGTAGAGTCAGTGGGAACCCTGAGCTTGTTTTCCTGCAACGAGATGGTCCCATCTGGGGGTGGAGACAGTGACAGATCATCAGGTGTTAGATTCTCATAAGGAGCACACAACCTAGATCCCTCACATGTGCAGTTCACGGTAAGGCTTGTGCTCCTATGAGAATCTAACATCACCACTGATCTGACAGGAGGCAGAGCTCAGGAGGTAATGTGAACAATGGGGAGCAGCTGTAAATACAGATGAAGCTTCACTGGCTTGCTCACTGCTCACCTTCTGCTGTGCAGGCTGGTTCCTAACAGGCCACAGACTGGTACCAGTCTATGGCCCAGAGGATGGAAACCCCTGGCTTAAATTTAAAAAATATCAAAATTTGTTTGCTCACAGTTCTGGAGGACAGAATTATAAAATCTACATGTTGGTAGAGCCATTGCCCCTCTACAGGCTCTAAGCAAGGCTCCTTCCTGCCTCTTTCAGCTTCTGGAGGCTCCAGGTGTCCCCTGGCTGTGGCACTATAGCTGTGATCTCCGCCCTGTCTTCACATCGCCTTTGTCCTGTGTCTGTCTGTGTCATCTTCTCTTCTTTCTCCTATAAAGATATGTGCCACTGGATTTAGAGCCCATGTGAATCCAAGATAATCTCATCTCCATGTCCTTAACTTGTTACATCTGCAAAGACCCTCTTTATCCAAGGATCATATTCACAGGTTCTTGGAGTTAGAATATGGACATATCTTTTGAGAGGCCACTACTCATGCCACCACAGGAATATGAATATTTCTTCTGTCCCCTCCATCTTTCCTATCCAAACATCAGTGCCATGAAAAATAGCTTTGCTGCTATACATTTTGTTTTGCAAGCGGATAAGGAAGTTGAGTTTCATACTGAAGTCAGAATGGCATAGTGAGACAGCGGCTGACAAGAGGCAGAAGGACCTGTGAGAAGACAGGTCCCCAGGAAATTGAAAAAGTCTTGGCAAGGCTTCCCAAGACCATAGAACTGGGCATTTGAGCCAATCTTAACTGGATCCTAAAGTTTAGAAGCTGTCAGCTGATATCTGTGTTATAATGACATAAAATATGATCATACTATACATTCTACTTTGTAACCTACTCTCCTTGCTTAAAAAATATTGCAAACGTTTTCTCCAGTCATTAAATATTTTTCAACAACATGATTTTTAATGGCTGTATAGCAGTCCGTCAAATGAAAGTACTGTAATTTATATAACAAATCCTTTATGGTAAGCTGTTCAGGATGTTTCTACATTTTACATATGATAAATAACACTGAAATGAACAACTGTCTTTATAAATCATTGTGCACATCTTTGATTATTTTCAAATGAGCCATTTTAAATAACCAGAACCATGAATTGCTATTTTGTGATGGCAATTTCTGCTCATTGTTTTCTTCATGAACTAAAACTTTTCCTTCAGGCAAAAAAAAAAAAAAAAAAAAAAGAGAGAAACAAAGTTCCTGGAACATCTGGCTTATGGTGTAATTTACTTTTGATATTCATCTGTGCTCTCAAATATTGAAATGTCTACTTTCTAATAGTCTCATCCTAGGTTTAATGTTCCTTCTGGAGGCACAGATACAAGTGTGTTTCCTTCTGTGAATCTTGGCCATGACTATTGGTGCCAAAGTTGTATATTAGTTGCCCTTAGCTTCTATATCTCTAGTTGTAAGACCCAAGAAGAAAGGACAGAAACCAGAAAGAATTAGACTGCAGGAATTTTTGTTGGGACCAAAAAGTCTCTTGTGATAATGGCTACCATGGAAAACTGTGACATGCCAGATCATTTATATAGACTGTCTTATAACCAATATAAGCTAGGTATTATTATCTGCAGTATTGGTGAGCAGGTAGTGGCTTTGAGCAGAGAGCAGTTCTCATTGTCAATTAAGTAGCAGACTTGGAACCCAGGTTGGTCTAACTCAAAGCTGACATGTCATACATCAGTGGGGCTCCCATATCTTTGAACTTTGAATGCTGGTTGAGATTTCTCACCAGAACTGTAGAAGTCATGTAGGCTTGCCAACTTTTAATTTTGCCAAGTAAGGGCATCAAACAGCAACAACCACTAAGTGTGATCACCTACCACAGTGCCCTCATACACAAAAAGGTATTTTAATGCCTCAAAGAGGAGGAAGGCTATCAACTCTGAAGACAGGACCTTCAGTGGGGTGAATCAGATCTTATGGAAATTCAATATGTTATCCCTCCTGGTGATCATCATCTCACTATGGACCAGGGCAAATGGACAGTCTCTCCAGACGCCACCTAAGAACCACTTCAGGAGGTCATGCTACATCACTGCCCCGACAGGGGGTTGCTCTGGCTTGGCTGACCAACATGGAAGGGGATGCAAGGCCTTCCCTCTGCTGCTGGAAGGGACTGGAAAAACATTCAGCCTAGTGATAGAGGGGTGTCCATTATATCACCTCTCCCTGTTCAGGGTAGAATTCTCACACTCTGGTCCTTTCCAAGAGTGAAGCAAAGAAAGAAAGACAGTGAATGTAAAATTCAAGAAACTTACTTAGGAAAGGAGACGGATCCAACATGACCAATTAGGAGCAGCTCAGGATTGCAGCTCCCAGCGAAAGTGTGGAGGGTGAGTGGACGTCACATTTCCAGATGGATTTTTATTGCCCACAGACCAGGAGATTCCCAGGCAGAGGAGCCCCACAGGTCACCAGCACAGCTGTTTTGGCCGGCGCCCTGGCGCAGCAGTTCTCCGTACAAAATACACAGGTCTGGGCACCATTTTAGCTGGCGATTGGAGCTCTGGGAAGACAGAGTCACCCATTCAACTGATAGAAAAGGGGACTGAAACAGAGAGCCAGGCCAGGAGATTCCCGGGCAAAAAAGCGTCACAAATCTCAGCATGGCTGTTTTGGCTGGCACAGTGGGTCACCGCATGGGAAATCACACAGATCTCGGCACCTTTTCAACAGGCAACTGGAACACCTGGGAGACAGTCGACTGTTCAACAACAACAACAACAACAAAAAGGCTCTGAGGCAGGGAGCCAGGAGATCAGGCTCAGATGGCCCCACTCCCACAAAAAAGCAGCAATCAGAAACACTCTGGATTGGGAGTTTCACAGCAAGCACAGCTGAACCCAGGACGGTCCAGCTCTGTAGGGGAGGGGTGGCCGCCATTACTGAGGCACTCCACCACTACAGAGGTAGTCTGCCATTGCTGAGGCAGCCTGCCATTGCCGCGGCAGCCCCCCATTACAGATAGAATCTGCCATTACAGAGGTGGGCTGCCATTGCCAAGACAGTTCTAACTATACCCATATAAACAGGACTGCAGGGAAGTTCACACAGCACCTGGGCAGAGCCCACAGCAGCTCAGCA